GGCAGACATTTGGTGCGCATGAATGAGCAGGAAGTGCTCTTGGTGGAAGCTATAATCTATTCCACATTTAAGTTGTATTATTTCAATATTTGCTTCCCACCCCTTGCCATAGGAAATTTGAGCAGGAGTCTGAAACAGTATATTTACTTTTTTAAAAAATAAAATCCCACCTGACTTCCGTGGATTCCAGGTGGCTAACAAAGCGACACATTACAAAAGACATTAGAACGATATGAAGGTCTATCAACAAATTAAAAGCAGCACACAGGATAAAAAAAAGAAACTTTCCCGTTAAATGCTCTCTGAAATAAACCCATCTTACATGCCTTCCTGACAGGGAAATATTCGAAAAAAATGGGGGGGGGACAGTGCCTCAGGAGGGCAGAGTTTGCAGAAGATGTGATGTCACTTCCAGGTCACGCTCTAGGCTGCTTCCCCTAGTCCCTGTGGTCTTTATCATAAAGACTAGGGGAAAGTCCTAGAACATCACTGTGTGGAGGCCATTTTGTCTCCCTTTCCTCAGTTCTTCAGGGGTAGAAAATTGGGAATGGTGGTGGTGAAAAGTGCGTTAAGTCGCAGATGACTTCTGGTGACCACAGAGGATTTTCAAGGCAGGAGACGGTCTGAGATGGTTTGCCATTGCCTGCCTCTGTGTCATGACCCTGGCATTCCTCGGAGGTCTTCCAACCAAATACTAACGAGGGCTGATCCTGCTTAGCCAGTTTGGTGTCGTGGTTAAGTGCGCTGACTCTGGGAGAACCAGATTTGATTCCCCACTCCTCCACTTGAGTAAGCATAGTTCTGGCACAGCTGTTCCGAAAAAGAGCAGTTTCCGTCAGAGCTCTCTCAGCCCCACAGGGTGTCTGTTGTGGGGAGGGGAAGGGAAAGGAGTTTGTAAGCCGCTCTGAGACTCCCTTGGGTAGTGAAGGGCGGGGTATAAATCCAGTCCCCTCCTCCTCTTCTTCTTCTCTTCCAAGATCTGAGGAGATCTCTAGGGAGTGGAAATTCCCCTCTCTGGGCAGGAAATGAGAGGCATAATGTGATGTGACTTTAGGCCGTTTATTTCAACCGTTTTGATGCTGCCTTTCCCCCCACTCAGGGTCTACAAGGTGAAGATAAAAAAACATTAAAACATTTGAGTAATTACAAATACAGTTCAAATGATAAGATTCAATTAAAAACACATAAAAACACTAGAATGACGGCCAATAACTGTTATCGGGGGTATGTATGCCAGACAAAGCAAAACGTTTTCACTCGCCGGTAAAAGACGCCGATAAAGGGAGACAGATGAATCTCGCTGGGGAGGGTGTTCCAAAGTTTTGGGGCCACAACCCAGAAGGCCCTTTTTCGGGTTGCCGCCCATCTAGCTATAGACTTATAAAACTCTAGCAGACACTTGTATTGAAAAGAGAACTAGTTTGTTCCCTCATATTCATGTTGGTGAGGAGACAAGGAGGAGGAGGAGGAGATTGGATTTATACCCCGCCCTTCACTACCCAAAGGAGTCTCAGAGTGGCTTACAATCTCCTTTCCCTTTCCCTTCCCCTCCCCACAACAGACACCCTGTAAGGTAAAAGAAGAAGAAGAGATTGGATTTATACCCCCCGCCCTTTACCCAAAGGTGTCTCAGAGCGGCTTACAAACTGCCTTCCCTTCCCCTCCCCACAACAGACACCCTGTGAGGTAGGTGGGACTGAGAGAGCTCTGACAGAAACTGCTCTTTTCAAAAACACCTCTGACAGAGCTATGGCTTGCCCAAGGTCATCCAGCAGCTGCGAGTGGAGGAGTGGGGAATCAAACCGGTTCTCCCACATTAGAGTCCGCGCACTTAACCACTATGCCTAAC